CCAAGCGACGAAAACCCAACCCCGATGGCAAACACCGGGGGGGGGTAGGCGGACATATTTGACCGTGTGCATTGGTGCTATATTGCCCCCAGAGGCCATGGACCTTGTCCATTCGCGCAATCCACTACATCTACACTTGAATGCCGCGTGGAGCCCTAGCCCTAGTTATCGCTGCCGTTGGCAGACTCACCCCCCACGTGGTTGGGTTTGCTTGCTTTTGGCACTGGCATTGGCACTTGGCACGGGCACTGTCACAGATCGATGCGGTGGTGAATACGATCGGTTTCCCTTTGGTGGGAGGCCCTGCCGGAAGTATGGAGGCCGGGAGGAGGGTGGACGTGGCAACTAATCTGCTCTCGACGAAGGACGTGCCGTACGTGGTGGCGGCGCCGCTGCTCATCCAGGACCTCGTCGGCTGGCGAAGAGACGGCGTTCAGGGATTGCAGCAGGTCAGCGGTGGTGACGGTGGTTGTTGCTGTTATCGCTGGGCTATGCTGTTGGTTCATGTCGTGTTCACGGGGTGTTGATACTGTCACCGTCAATTTCTCTGCTGCTGCTGCTGCTGCTGCTGCTGCTGCTGGTGTCTATGTTTGGTTATTGTTAGTTTTGATTGTTTTTAGTTCTGGTTGTTACGATGTTTTTTCCTGTAGACGCCATACATGCCACCGCCAAGTGTTTTCTGCTCAATCGTGCAGAGCAGGGCCTGAGGCGGTAGGGTTGCTGTCTCCCTCGGCTATATCCTGAACCGTTTTGTGGATGCCGCAGGGGGTGTTTTGCACTGGCACTCCCTCCCTCCCCCCCCCCCCCCCGCGTCCCTCGTTCTCCACGCACCCGCAGGTGGTGCTCTACTCCCTGCCAGAGCTCGATGGAGCGATAGACACGGTTGTGTTGGGGGGGCTTGTCGGCGACACGATCGGCCTTGTTCCGGAGCGCGTCCGCAAGATGAACGATCGCATCAAGGGGTGGGTCAACCTCCGTCGAACTCCTGCTGGAGACCGGAAGGTGGCCGTCCTCGTGTACGGCTTTCCACCAAACGTAGGGGCGGTGAGTCAGGCGAAGGAGAGAAACCACGCATAGAACGGAGAGAAGAGGGCAAGCAGCACAAGAGGTTCCGTAGCAGCACTGCTGCCCTGGTCCAGTCCACCTTTGGCGTGTTTCGCGCGGTGTAGATCGTGACACCCTGTTGGTTTGGGCGAAACGCGAACCTTGTCGGAACGCTTTCGTTGTCCTCGGATGCCAAATGTACCGGCCAATACCTCCCCGGTCTACTGCCCCGCCGGTCCATTTCCATGCCCTTGCCACCACCCTCCAATCTCACGACATCCACCTGGCAAAAGCAACCCCTCCGCCTGGCGGCAGCAACCACATTGTGGGTGTTTCGTGACAAGTCTCCGTCATCTGAAGTTGTTGTGTCCTATACTTATTCCTCCGCCTTCCCGAATTGAAAGTTGTTGAACCGCCGAACGGCCTCGACGTACTTTAATAATTCTATCACGAAAGGTTGGGACAGCGGCCTTGCTGAACGTGCCCGCATCACTGGAGAAAGTGCTGAAGGCGATGAAGGCAAAGGGCTACGACCTTGGCGAGGCCGGTGACAACATCGACGGCGAGGCTCTCGTTGCGGCGCTGAAGGCATGTTCATGGGGCGGAGGGGGTAGAAACGGGGGGACATACTCATGTTTTTCATACCATCGACCAAGGGGGGGGGGGGG